ATAATCCACAGGCCCAGCTCTGGAGATATAACTTCAAATCTAACTAGGCAGCTTTAATGAATTAAATCTGGAACTGAAAGCTTTCAGCATTTGTTGTAAAAATGTATCTGTTGTCTTCAGTTAGACTGGTCTACTCATGATTACATACCAAAGCAATGTAGTCTGAAGAAGGGTCACTTGACTTGAAATGTTTCTCTCTACAGAGATACTGCAAGACCTGCTGAGACTGTGCAGAAATTTCTGTTTTCGCTTTAGATTTCCAGCCTTTGTTTCATTTTTGTTCACATAACTAATGAAATAGTCAAGCAAGCCAATCCATTCGTAGGCAATTAGAGGTGGGCAACAAATGTTGGGCTTGCCAACAACGCCCACATCCCATGAAAGAACAAAGAAACACTTGCAACAAGCCAAGCTTCAAGGTCACTCACTAGATAACTTTCAATGACCTTTACTCCTATATATGCTAAAGCTCCAGAAATTGGATTTAAATTACACAGTGGTGAAAGAAAATAAACTGAAAAACAAAATAACTAAAGGAAGAAGAAGAAAAACAAAATCAGGACCAAGCACACAAACAAAAACTTGCAGTTCATTAAAGGTCAGACACACACAAGAAAATGCTCAACTTTCTGGTCCTCAACCTTGTGAAATTCTTATATTGATAGGTCACAGGTCTGAAATGTTAACTGTATGTTTCTTTCTCCACCTACTCGTGTATGGGGTGAGGGTGTTACTGGCAAAGCCAGCATTTATAGTCCATCCCTAATTGCCTTTGAGGTCTCTAACATTCACAGGATTTTGCCCTTGATATCAGATTGTACTCCGCACAATCCAGTATTTCACGATTAATGTAGTTGTTAATTTGGGGCAAATGGTAAATCAGCCTGTTCTGCAAGAACAGTAAACAACCAAAATGCAATGAGACCGGAATAGGCCAGCAATCAAACTGGACTAGGGAGAAACACATCAATCACTGACTGGATACGGAGCTATTGATTTAGTAACATTAACAGGGACAGATTGTGCTGCTATGTTGGAAGAAAGCTAGAGATATTTGCTAGGTGCTGATCCCCTGACAATGCTTTTATGAAGCCCAGAGTTCCTCAGGCTCCAGTGTGTGACTGCTAATTTCCTCTCACACGTTTGTTTAAATTTGTCACTTTTTTCGGATTCAATTATACTGAGGATGAGTAATGAAGCAAACATTACTTCCATGTGTTTAGATGGTATCAGGTGATTGAAACACAACTGACTTTTAAGTGAAAAAAAGTCCAAAGCTAGAACTGCCTCTATTAACCCAATGATTCCTAAATGTTTTTCATTGAAGGTTTCTTTTCAAATGTGATGGAAGGTGTGTGATCTATTTATATTAACATAACTCTTTCTAAGAGCTTAATTTTAAACTAGTTGTATATAGGTCTTGGTCTCTTTTTGTGAAGGTCCTTAAAAATCAACCAGGTCTGACTTTCTAGAACTATGATTTTAAACCAATTTGTGCCACCTGGAGTTTTAATCAAAGCTTCTTTACACTGTAGGGGTTTATAAACGTACAGAGAACAAATATTAAGCCACTAGCCTAGCAGACTCTAGGACAAGCAATTTAAAAAAAATTGAAGGACTTTGGGCAGTTCAAAGGTTACCTGAATGGAGTCAGAAACAAGTACAGATTCTTCTAGACAAGGAGAACGTTTGGAGCAATGAAGGAAACAAGTTACCTCAGTGAAAGAGTATTGTTTGTGAAACTCCAGACAATGAGTGTTTGAATAGAAATCTGTTTCAGTTATTCAAAGCTGAGGAAGTCCAAAATTACAGTTATGAGGGTTTTCAAGGGAAAGGGCTTCACATCACAGGATTGGAACTGACAGGAAGCCAGTAAATTAAACCTACATATTTGATAGTGAGGAATATTGCTCTGGATTTCGATTAACTGTAAAGGATAAGGATGTTAGGAGTTGATGGGACTTTGATTTATCATGTGTTCTGAAATCTTTCGAACTGTGTTGTATTTAGATACCCTATAGCTTGGTTTGGTTTATTTCTGTAGTGATTGGAACCAGGTGGTTCTCATTGAGTATGAGATCCTTGATTAGGGTTGTTAATCTAGGCCAATGAGGAAAGCCCTGGCCAACTAATATAACCAGGTGATTTAGAATCTCCTCAGTTTAAGGTACTGACTCTGAGCTAGCTGGCCTTAGCCAGTGAACTGTGCACAAGTAAATAAAGGATGACTTGGTGATGGGATACCAGCCCCTGTGCAGTTATTTCAATTTCATTTTTATTTCTTTTGTGTGTAATCAACATCTTGGAGGGCCAGGTTAATGAACATGGCAGGACTGGAGGTCTAAACTGTATTTATTTTAATGTAAGGAGTATAACAAGTAAGGCAGATGAGCTTAGAGCTTGGATTAGTACATGGAACTACAATGTTGTAACTATTATAGAAACTTGGTTGAGAAGAAACTGGTAGGTCAATGTTCCAGGGTTTAGAAGTTTCCGGCATGACAGGAATGTAAAAAAGGTGGGGGAGTTGCATTACTGATTAAGGAGTACTTGACAGATGCACTAAGAGAGGATATTTTGGAGAGCTCATCCAGTGAGGTCACATGAGTAGAACACAGGAACAATAAAGGTGCAATCATAGTGATAGTGTTATATTGTTGGCCTCCCAACAGCCAGTGGGAGATATATAGGCAGATCATGAAAAGGTGAAACAAATAACGTTGTTTTAGTGGGTGATTTTAACTTCCCCAATATTGACTGAGGCTCACTTACTACCAGGGGCTTAGATGGGTCAGAATTCGTTAGGTCCATCCAGGAGGGCTTCTTGAAACAATGTAAAGATAGTTCAGCCAGGGAAGAGGCTGTACTAAACCTTGCATTGGGAATGAGCCTGGCCAAATGATTAAGGTTTCAGTAAGTGAGTACTTTGGGAACAGTGACCATAATTCTATAAGTTTTGAGACAGTTATGGATAAGGATAAGATTGGTTCTCGGGTGAAACTGCTAAATTAGAAGAAGGCTAATTAACCCAGTATTGGGCAGGAACTGGAGAAAATAGATTGCGGGTGACTGTTTGAGGGTAAATCCACATCTGACACAGAGTTTTTTAAAAGCCAATTGATTAGAGTTCAGGACCAGCATGATGCTGTCAGAATGAAAGAGAAGGATGGCAAGATTCAGGAACCTTGGATGACAAGAAATATTGAAAGTTTAAGCAAAAAGAAAAGGAAGCCTGTGTAAGGTTTAGGAAACTAAAATCAGACAAGGCACTTGAGGAATGTAAAGAAAGCAGAAAAGAACTTAAGCAAGGAATTAGGGCTAAAAGTAGGGTTATGGAGAACAAGCACCTGAAGTCAGCAGGAAATGTCTCCTGCTGCCAGTAAATCATGCAGTCGTGACCAGGGCACCTCCATATTATTTTGCAAATCCCTGGGAAGTCTCTACAGACTGCAGTTTGAGAACCACAGCAGTGACCTCTGCTCTTCCCCTAATTAGCAATATAAAGAAAGGTTAGAGAAGGATCTATAAGATGGTTTCATAAAAGAGAAGAGTAAGAATGGAGAGCTGGAGAGGTCTGGGGAGGGAGTTCCACAGAGACTGTACAATCCTACCACTGAAGAAACTGTAAGCATTTGATTGTGATGAATATGGTCTCATTGATCACATCACTGGCTAGGCCAGATGAAAATGACAGTTTCCTTCCCTAAAAACCAGATGGGTTTTTTCAACAATCAATTCATCGTCATCATTAGACTCTTAATTCTAGATTTTTATTGAATTCAAAATCCAGTGTCTGCTTTGGCACAATTTGAAACCAGGTCCCTGGAACATTACCTGGATCTCTGGAATAACAATCCAGTGATAATGCCACTAGGCTGTTGCCTCCCCCTAAATGCATATAATGCCTAAGGTGGGGCAAAGTGTGCTTGGCAGGAGTATATGGCTAGGATATATGAAAGAAAAAAGGACTTGCATTTATATAGCACCTGTTCATAATAGGCGAACACAGTAAATATATGAAACATGGCAATAATTTACGCACAGCAAGCTCTCACAAACAGCAATGAGACAAAAATAGAAATTGTTGGAAAAGCTCAGTAGGTCTGGCAGAATCTGTGTAGAGAAATCAGAGTTAGCGTTTCAGGTTGAGTGACCCTTCCTCAGCAATGAGATCATGACTAGATAAATAGCTGGTTGAGAATAAAACCTTGGCAAAGAATTCCACAGGCTCACCACTCTTAGTGAAGAAATTTCTCCTAATCTCATTCCTAAATGGCCTATCCTGTATCCTTACACTGCGACCCCTGATTCTGGACTCCCTGGTCATCAGGAACATCCTTCCTGAGCTTAACCTGTCCAGTCCTGTAAGAATTTTATAGGTTTTCATGAGATCATCCCTTATTCTTCTAAACCCCAGTGAATATAGTCCTAACTAATCCATAGTAGGGAGGCACTGGTCTAGTGGTATTATCACTGGACTAGTGGTATTATCACTGGACTGTTAATCCAGAGACTTGGGTAATGTTCTGGGAAACCCAGGTTTGAAACCCACCATGGCAGATGGTGGAATTTGAATTCAATAAATATCTAGAATTAAGAGTTTATTGTTTGAAAAACCCATCTAGTTTCCTTTAGGCAAGGAAACTGTCATCCTTACCTGGTCTGGCCTACATGTGACTCTAGATCCATAGCAATGCGGTTGACTCTCAACTGCCCTCTAACCAATTAGGGATGCGCAATATATGCTGGCCTGGCCAGCGACGCTGTCATCCCAAGAATAAATTTTTAAAAAGTCTCTTTTCAGTCAGTCCTGCCATCCCAGGAATCGGTTGGTAAACTTTGGTGCACTCCTTATATAGTCAGAACATCGTTCCTCAGATAAGGTTGAATGGTCTGCTCCTGTTCTCATGTTCATATCAAACACTTACCCCAACGGACAGGAGCTGTAGAGGCAAGAGATGATGCAGGGTGGGGAATTCCAAGCGTTCTTAGTTGCTCACCTTGACACAGCAGTAAATGGTGGAAACGAACAGTACACTTGCCAGGACCAAAAGGCAGGACAGGTAGAAACCCAGCATCAACATAGAACTGTAAGCCGAGAATGAGGGAATGAGGGAAGAAAGAGAAAAAAAATACATTAGCTCCAAGATGGTTCACATGATGCAGACGTCACAGGCTGTGTCATTGTACTTTTGGACACTACAAATATGCTCACCACATTTCATCCATTGTTAGACCACCAGAGAGAAACTGTGTATCAACGGTCTTCACCTCAAGAACATGTCTAGTAACTGGCTAAAGCAACGGAAAGATATAATTTTAAGGGGAGGGGCAGGAACAGAGACTGGGGAAGGTGGAATCCTCGATGATGGCTGTTAAAGTTGAAAAATCTTTCTAAAAAGCATTTTTCTTTTATCTTCTTTCAAGGTATGTGGGTGTTGCTGACTAGGCCAGCATTTATTGCCCTTGAAAAGGTGATGGCGAGCTGCCTTCTAGAACCACAGCAGTCTTTGGGATGTAGATGCTCCCACAGTAGAGTTAGAAAGGGAGTTCCAGGAGTGTGACCTATTTATTAATGCAGCAGCATCTCCTCCAAGTATAAAGCAACAAAGTTATGGCAAACATTTGCAAAACAACAGTTAGAACTTGGCTGGAGTATCAGGCTGAAATGTGCTGTCAAAATAAGGGTGAAGATAATAAAGCACACCATTCTTTCTGTGTAAATGGTGCAGAAGTCTCAGATGAGGGACAAATGTGTGATTAAACATGAATATCCAAATATTGCTGCACAAGTTATGCCAAACTCATGTGAAGCTTTGTGAAAACAGCATCTTGCACTTTTTTAGGAACTTGCTACCTTTGCCCATTAACCTGGCCACAGAAAGGTAAGTCTTATCATTATACAGTCACAGAGACATAGAGTAATATAGCATGAAAACAAGCCCTTTGGCCCAAACTGGTCCATGCTGACCACGGTGCCCATTCAGCTAGCTCCAATTGCCTGCACTTAGTCCATATCCCTCTAAATCCTTCCCATCCACGTACCTATCTAAATGTTTTTTAAATGTTGCTATTGTACCTGCCTCAACCACTTTCTCTGGCAGCCCAATCCACATACGTGCCATTTTCTGCATGAAGAAGTTGCCCCTCAGGCCCTATTTAAATCCTTTCCTGCTCACTTTAAATCTATGCTCTCTAGTTTTCAATTCCCCATCCCTGGGAAAAAGACTATATGCATTCATCCTATCTATGCCCCTCGTAATTTTATACATCTCAATAAGGTCACCCCTCATTCTCCTACGTTCCAAGGAATAAAGTCCTATACTGGCCAACCTCTCCCTACAACTCAGGTCTACTGGTCCTGGCAACATTCTTGTAAATCTTCTTTGCACACTTTCTAGTTTAACTATGTCTTTCCTGTAACAGGGTGACCTAAACTGTACACAATACTCCAAGTGTGGCCTCAACGACGATTTATACAACTGTAACATAATGTCCCAACTCCTGTACTCAATGCCTCGACCGGTGAAGGTCAGCATGTTAAATACCTTCTTCACCACCCTGTCCACCTGTGACGCCACTTTCAACAAATTATGTATTTATGCTCCTAGGGCCCTCTGTTCCACAACACTCCTCAGGACTTTACCATTTACTGTATAAGTCCTACTTTGGTTTGACTATTATAATCATAATCATGAGGATAAATGGAATCTGCAAGGAAGTATAGATAGGTTCAGTGAATGGGCACAATTTTCAGGGCACTTTTACAATGTTAAACATTAAGATGTTTTTTAAAAATCTTCCTTTCTGTCCTAATACAACTTTCTTTCTCTCTTTGTACTTCTTCTTCTGTACCTGATGCAATGTTGATTTTACCCAATCTAATTCACTCTCCTTCTTGCTGCTTCCTGTTTATTTCTCAATCCTTAAAATCTCATTGGTTAAGGACATAGAAAGAAAGACATGCAATTTTATAGTGTTTCTCAAGATCACAAACATTTCACGTTGCTTTCCAGTGAATGGAATAAAGTGTTCTTGGAGGTGTAGTCAGTGTAATACAGGATTTGTGGTAGGCAATACACACATACAGCAAGCTCCCACAAAAGATCAATGTGATAATGAACAGATAATCTGCTTTTGTGATATTGACTGAAGAATAAATATTGTCAAGGATAACGTAGATAATAAATGCTGGCATATCCAGCGAGGTTCCAATCCTGGAATAAATGATTTTTTGTGAAAGCCCTTTGAGCCAAAGGATGCAGAGGTGAGGAATTTTTTCTCTCATATATTTGCACCTCTCTTTCCCAGAGAGCAGTGGAGGAAGGTTATTTGAACATTCTATTGAACATCCAAGACTATCAAGGATATCAGATATTGTTTGGGGTAGGTGGGAATGTGGAGTTGAGGCCACAACCACATCTGCTATGATCTTGTTAAATGGTGGTGCAAGCTCAAGGGCTGAATAGTTCACTCCTGCTCGATATAGAACCATAGAATCCCTACAACATGGAAGCCCATCGAGTCCACACCAACCCTCCAAAGAGCATCTCACACAGACCCACCCCTCTATCCTATCCTATAACTCTGCCTTACCCATGGCTAATCTACCTAGCCTGCACTTCCTTGGACACTATGGGCAATTTCACATGGCCAATCCAGCTAACCTGCACACCTTTGGACTGTGGGGGGAAACCACAGCACCCAGAGGAAACCCATGCAGACACAGGGAGAACATGCAAACTCCACAAAGACAGTTGTTCGAGGCTGAAATCGAACCGGAGTCTCTGGTGCTGGGAGGTAGCAGTGCTAACCACTGAGCCACTGCATCACCATACATATGCATATATGTACTACCAATTCATGGTGAGAAAGCAGTTGAGACTGAATGAGAAATTTCCCTCAAGTAAAGGCAGTCAAGCAGACTTACTGGGGCATGATGGTTATCTGAATGCAGCAGATAAAGAGGAAGACAAGACAAGAACAGGCTACATAGGCTCCAAATCGGTCATCCACCTCCTTTGAATACTGCAAAAAAAAGACAGTGATAATCAGTGGCTTCTACTCATAGAAAGGCCCCTTGGTCTACTGTGCCTGACCTGGCTCTTGGAATGAACAGTCAAGCTTACATGTCCACCTGCCCCATGCTTTTTGTTCATAACACTGCAAATTCCACATTTCCAATATCTGTTGGTTATATTGTTATATTGTTCATAAGGAAATAGGAACCAACTGTTATGAGAATGTACATCCTGCAGACTACATTTTGCTGCTGCACTGCAGTCATGTGCTAAATAATAATAATGTATCAATCTCCTAGTCAGATAGAGAAATGTAACAATATGCTGAATGAAGTTCTAGCATTTTGATTTGGATTACTTGTAACTAATAGGAACCACACGACAACCACATCTAGCTCCCTTTTAAAACTGTTTATTGATCTGCTTCAAATAGCTTTTAAATTGGAGCATTTTCTAGATCACAACTCATTGGGTGAAAATATTTCTCTTTATCTCCACTCTAGATCCTTCATCAATGATGTTAAATCTATTAACCTACTCACTAGGTTGAATAGTTTTTTTTTTCTCTGTTGAAACCTCTACCATCCAGAAGAACAAGGGCAGCAGATACACAGAACACAACCACCTACAAGTACCCCTTCAAATACTGTACCATCCTGTATTGGAAATATATCGCCGTTCCCTCAGTGTCACCAGGTCAGAATCCAGAATCTCCCTTCAATTGTAGCATTGTGGGCATACCTACATCAAATGGAATTCAGGAGTTCAAGAAGGCAACTCATCATCACTTTCTCAAAGGCAACTGGTGATGGGCAATAATTATTGGCCAAGCCAGTGATGCCCACACCCCATAGAAAAACAAAAACAAATTATCTTGAATAACTCAAGCAGATGACCACTAGAGTCATAGAGTCCTACAGCACGGAGACAGGCCCTTCGGCCCAAACTGGTCCATGCTGACTAAAATGTACATCCACGCTAACCCCATTTCCTTGCACTTGGCCCATATCCTTCTAAACCTTTCCTGTCCATGTATTTGTCCAAATGACTTTTAAATGATGTTAACGTACCCGCCTCAACCACTTCTGCTGGCAGCTCACTCCATTTGCATACCACCGTCTGTGTAAAAAAGTTGCCCCTCAGGTTCCCATTTATTCTTTCCTCTCTTACCTTAAACTGATGCCCTGTAGTCCTCAATTCCCCAACCCTGGAAAAAAAAAATTGAGTGTATTCACCCTATCCATGCCTCTTATAATCTATTTTTAAGATCCCCCCTCAGACTGCAACACTCTAAAGAAAAAAGTCCTAGCTTGTCCAATCTCTCCCTATAACTCAGTCCCTTGAGTCCCAGCAACATCCTTATAAATTTCTTCTGTTCTTTTTCCAGTTTAATAACATCCTTATAGCAAGGTGACCTAAACTGAACATAATACTCATAGCTTCACAACTTCTGTACTCAATGCCTTGACTGATGAAGGCTTGTGTGCCAAGTACCTTCTTCACTGCCCTGTCTACCTGTGACTCCACTTTCAGAGAACCATGTACCTGAACTCCAAGGTCCCTCTGTTCCACTACATCCCTCAAGGCCCTACCATTCACCATGAAACTCCCACCTTGATTTGACTTTCCAAAATGCAACACTTCACACTTACCTATATTAAACTCCATTTGCCATTTCTCAGCCTAGTTTCGCAGCTGATCAAGATCCTGCTGCAATTTCTGATAACCTTCCTCACTGTCCAGCATACCACCTATTTTAGTGTCATCTGCAAACTAACTAATCATGCCTTATACATTCTCATCCAAATCACAGATATAGATAACAAACAGCAATGGGACCAGCACCGATCCCTGAGGCACACGATTAGTCACAGGCCTCTACTCCGATATGCATACTTCTCTGCTTCCTACCATCAAGCCAACTGTGAATCTAATTTGTCACAATACTATACAATAGACTGGACGATACATCCTTGCACACTGCTTCCTGTAAAGACTCCATCCCATTCTCTCAGTTCCTCTGTCTCCGTCACACATGTTCAGATGAGGCCAACTTTGACAACGGAGCCTCTGAAATGTCCACCTTCTTCCTCAACTGAGGATTCCCTAGCACCGTTGTCGACAGGGTTGTCAACTGGGTCCAACCCATCTCCCGCACTTCCGCCCTCACCCCTTCTCTTCCCTTCCGCAACAGCGACAGGGTTCCCCTTGTCCTTACCTACCATCCCACCAGCATCCACATCCAGAAGAACATCAGATGCCATTTCCACCACCTCCAGACACATTTTCCCCTTCTCTCCCTTGTGCGCCTTCCGCAGGGACTGTTCCCTCCGGGACACCCTGGTCCACACTTCCTTCACGCCAACACACTCCCACAGCCCTACGGCACCTTCCCCTGTAACCGGTGAAGGTGCAACACCTGCTCATTTACCTCCTGCCTCCCCAGCATCAAAGGGCCCAAACATACCCTCCAGCTAGAGCAACACTTCACCTGCACTTCCCAGAATCTAGTTTACTGCATTCACTGCTCATAATGTGGTCTCCTCTACATTGGGGAAACGAAGCGTAGACTGGGTGACCGCTTCACAGAACATCTACGTTCTGCTCGCAAAAAAGACCCTGAGCTACTTGTTGCCTGCCACTTCAACACACCACCCTGTTCCCTGGCAAACATATCTGTCTCTGGCTTGCTGCAGTGTTCCAGCGAAGATCAATGCAAGCTGGAAGAACAACACCTCATTTTCCGCTTGGGGACCCTGCAGCCCTCCGGACTCAATATCAAGTTCAATAATTTTAGGTCCTAAACTCTCCCATGTCCTAGCCCCCCCACCCCACACATTAGGCTGTGTTATCACATAGCCTGCCATTACACACTGACAGTCCCCATTAACAACTGTTCACCCTCCCAGCCAGATCGTTATCAACTCCTTTGTCTGTCTAACTGTCTTTCTCTTTCTTTAGGAGACTCTATGCTATCGTTTACTCCCTACCCCACCCACTCCCTACATTCTGCATATAAACTGACGTTTTCCCAGCTACTGTCAGTTCTGAGGAAGGGTCACCGGACCCGAAACATTAACTCTGATTTTTTCTTCACAGATGCTGCCGGACCTGCTGAGATTTTCCAGCAACTTCTGATTATGTTCCTGATTTACAGTTCTTTCGGTTTTTATTCTGGATTACTGATCCAGTAACATTCACTGCACTACCACCTCCATTAAAGTGCGCTGAAGTGAGAGCTGAGAAAACATGTGCTACGTGTGTAATTCATGCTACATATACATCATCTTGGACTGTGTCAGAGGGTCGAATTCGTTAGTTTCTGGGATGACGTTATTGTTGTTTGACGAGGGTTTGAGCAGAATGGGCCTGTCCTCTCTAAAATTTTGAAGACTTGAGAAGTGATTGGAGTGAATTCATAAAGATTTTGTAGTGGTTTAATAGGTTAGATGCTCACTCTAACAACAGGTGAATTGTTAGAATTCTCTATCCTAGCAGGTGGTGGTGCTCAGTTGTCGAGTATATTCAAGAAGGAGACCTAGAAATTTTACGGGCACCAAGGGATAGAGCACAAAGGTGGAGTTGAGGTAGATCACCCCTTATTGAAATGGCAAAGCAGTCCTAAGAGACCATATGGCTAAATCCTATTTGCTATATTCCTGCTAGGATTTACCTTCTTTTCTAGCTCAGGTTTCCTGAACGTCAGCAGGAATTTTCGCACATGCTCAGAACGTAGGCGATCAATGCTTCTCGCATCGATGGCTCGTCTAAGGAATTCATCCACCTCATCCTCGGGGTTCATGTTCTCTTGAGTGTTTCTGCTGAAGGAAGGAAATCAAAAAGCAATCAACAAACTTAACTTATTTCACGTGCGAGTTAGCTCTTTCATCAGCAAAACATTTTATAGATTGATCCCTTTTGTTTAAACTCTTTTGCTCTGTGTGCTGTGTGTACCTGATTCCCCTGCGCTGGCAGACCTATGTTGGTGAACTATTGTATTGACCTTGATCTGCCAACAGTTGCTCTTCTATTGAGAGTCGAGTGCACCAAGCCTGAAAGTGCAACAACCAACATGCCAGGTATAAGGCAGTATTCTTCACTTCTCTCATCCCTAAATTTGAAATGCTGCAACCCAATGAGAATAAAACAGTCTGTTTATAGCTTTGGTGTCACACAAAACGAGCTTCTGACATCATAGTTGTGCTGTTACTAAGACTCCCTGTTTCTAAACCTCTGTAAAATCACCTGAATTCATCAATGTGTAAGCTTATCAGCTGCTGAAACCCTCATCCATGCCTCAGTTACCTCTATATTTCAAAGCACCCTGTCTAGTCTTCTACATTCTACTCTGTGCAAATGTGAGATTCTCTATTGCCCAAGTCTGAACTTGTGAAAAGCCCTGCTCCATCAATACCCCTGACTGTTGTTTGTTGACCTGTGGTGGCTCCTGGTTAACTGACACCTTAATTTTAACATTTTCAACCTTGACATCGAATCTCTTCATCACCTCGCCCCTCCTCATCTCTGAATTGACCTTGAAAGTCAGGATAAAAGCAAAGTACTACAGATGCTGGAAGTCTGTAATAAAAAGAGTAAGGGAAAGATTCAGCAGATCTGGCAGCATCAGTGGAGACAAAAACAGAGTTAATGTTTTGAGTCCGGTATGATATTTTTCACAGCAGAAATGACTATTACGAGGGGGCGTAATTTTAAGGTGATTGGAGGAAAGTATAGGGGAGATGTCAGAGGTAGGTTCTTTACACAGAGACTGGTGTGTGCATGGAATGTGCTGCCGGCAGTGGTAGTGGAGTCAGTACATTAGGGACATTCAAGCGACTCTTGGATAGGCACATAGATGATAGTATAATGTAGGGTACGCAGGGTAGTTTGATCTTAGAGTAGGATAATAGGTCGGCACAACATTGTGGGCTGAAGGGCCTGTACTGTGCTGTACTGTTCTATGTTCTAATGTGGTTGCCTCTTAACTGCCCTCCAAAACAGTTTTACAAACCACTCAGTTGAATCGAAATATTAAAAAGTCTCAAAAAAGTAAAAAGTTAAACCTGGTGGATCACCCGGCATCTATCCAGGTACTAGAAAAAACAAGTGCAAACACAGCCCTGCTGACGCTGCAAAGTCCTCCTTACTAATATCTAGGGGGCTAGTGCCAAAGTTGGGAGAGCTGACTCACACACTAGTCAACAATAGCCTGACACAGTCATACTCATGACATTGTACCTTACAGATAATGTCTCAAGACCCTAGCATTACCCTCCCTGGCTACGTCCTGTCCCACCGGCAGAATGTTCTATGATTCACAACAATATTCAGCCAGAAGTGCTGAGTAGATGATCCATTTTGGCCTCCTCCAGAGGTCCCCAGCATCATAGATACCAGTCTTCAGCCAATTTGAAACACTCCATGTAATAGCAAAGAAACGGTTGAAGGCACTGGATACTGCAAACACTTTGGGCTCTATCAACATTCCAGCAATAGCATTAAAGATGTATGCTCCAGAACTTGCCACATCCCTAACCAAGCTGTTCCAGTACAGCTTCAACACTAGCATCTATCTGCCAATGTAGAAAATTGCCCAGGTATGTCTTGTACATAAAGAACAGGACTAATCCAACCTGGCCAATTACCACCCCAGCAATCTACCCTCAATCCTAAGTGATGGAAGGTGTCATCAACAGTGCTTTCAAGCAGCACCAGCTCAGCAATAACACTATTCACTGACTCCCAGCTTGGGTTCCATCAGGATCACTCAGCTCTTGACCTCATTTCAGCCTTGGTTTAAACATGGACATAAAGGCTGAATTCCAGAGGTGAGGTGCAAGTGATTGGCCTTGACATCAAAGCCTCATTTGACCATGTGTGACATCAAGGAGGCCCGACAAAACTGAAGTTAATGGAAATCGGGGGAAAGCACTCCACTGGTTGGCGTCATATCTGGCACACTGGAAGACGGTCATGGTTGTTGTCATCAGCCATCTCAGCTCCAAGACATCTCCACGGGAGTTCCTGAGGGTAGTGTCCTAGGCCCAACTATCTTCATCTGCTTCATCAATGACTATCTTTCTCAATCAAAAGTCAGAAGTGGTGATGATGGTTGATGGCTGCACAAAGTTTAGCACCATTCAAGATTCCTCAGATACGGAAGCAGTCCAGTCCATATATAGCAAGGCCTGGAAAATATCTAGGTTTAGCTTGATAAATGACAAGTAAAATTTGAGCCACAGAAATGCCAGGCAGTGACTATCTCAAGAGCATCTTGGGTCGGGTCCAGTCAGCGATGCCCACATTTCCTGAATGAATAAAAAAAATCACTCCAACATTAGTTTCCTTGCCTTCGATTGTGTGGGCCCAAGATTAGAAATTCCCTTTCTACACTTCTCTAACTTATCATTCCTCCTTTAAGACACTCCTTAATACAAAATAAAATTGAACTAAGCTTTTACCATCTGACCTAATACATGCTTAATTGGCTGCATTCTACCAGTTCTCTAGGGACAGGCTGAGGGGGCAGGAGAGAGCCTGTAAAATTGTGAGGGCAAGTGGACATTTTCTAATCAACCTGTTTAGCTACATTTTTATATGCCTCTGAAGCAGGTAGGACTTAAACCCAGGCTCTCCTAGCTCAGAGATAGGAATAGTATCACTGAACCACAAGAACCCTGGTGTACAGCATTGGGGAAGGTGAATGATGACCTTCCTACATAGATGCCAGTGTGCCATTTACGTGGTCAATTAAGGCCCTCAGCGCACAGTGAGACAGCTAGCTAAGCCCTCTGAAGGGATGTGAGGGCAGTTATGGCATTCCAAATTTAGCAGGAGAGCTGCCCTAATAGCAATAGCCATCCCCATTGTGGCAACAATGCTGCCTGCCTTCAGAAACCCATTTCCCTCCCTATCTTTAGGGCCAGTCCAACTCAAAAACCACTTACCAAGTTGGGTTGGCGTCTGGCCAGCAGCTTCTGATGACTATGCAGTGGTACAAAATAAATCTATTCTCCTTTGTAAACTGAACAGCAGAAATGCACTCCTGGAGAAGTGAGCTGAGTGTTAGGACACTGGACAGATTTCGGAAATGGTTGGGAGTTTCACCAGGGAGACTGTGGAGTAGGTATTCACGGTGGAGGAGACCAAATGAACTGCAGGATATTCTTCATCTAAAAAGACCTGTGTTCTATTAAATGTGTCTACAGATGTTTTGGAAAGGCAGTCTGCCTTCCTTACTTAGCCTATAAGGGTTTCAATCTCACGCTGTCATTGTTGACTCTTAACTGTCCTGTGAAGTAGCCAAGGAAGTCACTGAATCTTGTCAACCGTCTACTCACCACCCTGTCTGCACAGCCAAGACCCTCTTAGTGCAGCTGATGAATAGTAAATGGTGGATTTTCCAACGTCACCCGCATCCCAAGAATGAGTAAAAATAAAAATGCAAACCTATCTATACTGCATTCATAACCTTCCCTTATTACTTTCCCCTCCTCTCTTTAGTTCTGGTCAGTCTTATGAAGAGGTGTCACCAATGTCACCAAGTAGAAAACTAAGTTGTCAAGAGGACGTGAAGAGTCTGCAAAAGGCTCTACACATATTAAATGAGTGAGCAAAACTTTGCCAGGTTAAAATGTGGGAAAATGTGATCTGGTTTACTCTGGCAATAAGTGTGGTATGTTTTTAAATGGCATAGGACTGCAGGACTTGGTGGATTTGGATGTCTTGATACATGAATCACAGGAAGTTGGTATGCAGGTGCAAATGGAACGTTGGGATTTACTGGCAGTAGAATTGAGTATAAAGTAGGGAATCAGAGAATGATTATGGTGCAGAAGGAGGTCATTCCGCCCATTATGCCTGTATCAACACTACTATCTGGTGCCAATCTCCTGCCTTTTTCCATACTGATATGAAGCAGTCACTAAGGACCTCACCCACTTCCTCTGGCTCCATGCATAAATTCCCTCTTATGTCTTTGAGTAGAACTAGCCTTTCCCTAGGCACCCTCTTGTTATAATATATGTACAAAATGCCTTGGGATTCTCCTTAATCCTATCTGCCAACGACATTTCATGGTCTCTTTAGCCCTCCTAATTCCTTGTTTAAGTTCTTTCACACTTTCTTTGTATTCCTCAAAGGCCTTATCTGATTTCAGTTTCCCAACCCTAAATATGCTTCCTTTTCTTTTTGACTAATCTTTCAATATTTCTTGTCATCCATGGTTTCCAAACCTTGCCATCTTTATCTTTCATTCTGACAGGAACATGTCATCCTAAACTCTGATCAACTGGCCTTTAAAAGATTCCTACAAGTCAAAAGTATACTCACCCTCAAACAGCCACCCCCAATCTAATTTTCCAGTTCTTCTCTAATACTGTTGTAATTAGTCTTCTCCCAATTTAGCACTTTCATCTGAGGACCATTCTTATCCTTATCCATAACTATCTTAAAACTTACAGAATTATGATCACTGTTCCCTAAATGCACCCCCTCCCCCCACCTCAAGGGCCGTGTCTGATTTCAGTTTCTTAAACCCAAAATATGCTTCCCTTCTCTTTTTGACTAAACTTTCAATAACTCATCATCCAGAGTTCTTGAATCTTGCCATCATCAGTTCAAAAAAGGTCCACTCAACACACTCCTGACATGAAGGTTCTGAGTCAGGTAGACTTTTGATCAGCAAGGGAGCTCAAGGGTTATGGGGCAGACAGGAAAGGGGAGTTGAAGGCCACAATCAGATCAGCCATGACATTGGTGAATGGCTCAGCAGGCTTGAGGGGTCAAATAGGTTATTATTGTTCCTAATTCCTCTGAATCT